AACTCTATTTTTGCTGGATTTCATAGCATCTTTTCCCTACGACTGGGCCGCGCCGGATTCTTCACTGGAGGGAGTTCAACTACTGCGTTTTTTCAAGTTTATACGATTGCTGAAAGTACTTCGTTTACTACGAGTATTTAAATGAGGAAGCTTCTTATGAAAGTAAGATTCAGAATAGGTCCGATTTTGTCCATTTTTTATTTTAGGTAGAAGACACTGTGAGCTCAGCGGTGGTATCAGTTTTTCTCCAACTGCTGAGATTGGTATTAGTCGTTCTCTTCATAGCTCATCTCATTGCATGTTTATGGTATATCCTGGCAGCATCCGAGAACCCGTTCGAAACCACGTGGTTGGATGTGTTCGGTTATCGAGATAGACCTACGATGGAGGTATATATAGCGGCATTGTATTGGTCCTTTGCGACGATGACAACGGTGGGGTATGGGGAAATTCATCCGGTGAACTCCCGGGAACAAACGTTCGGTATGCTGACGATGTTGTTGGCGTGTGGGGTGTCTGCTTTTTTTATTGGAAATATTGGGGGATTAATTCGCTCCTTGGATTCTGAGTCGGCGAAATTTCGGGCGAAAAATAAAGCGGTTAAAAAATTTATGGTGGAGAGGGAGGTCCCTTTGGAGTTGCAAAATAAAGTGAAAAAATATTTGCAATTTTTGTGGGCGAACGGTCGGGATTTTGATGCCGATAGAAAAACTCGGGATGAAGGCGTGTTGGCGTTTATGAGTAGCCATTTGAGGGGGGAGGTCATGTTACAACTACTGGGAGGTAGTATTAGAACGGCACCGTTTCTCGCGACAGTTCCCTCTACTATGCTGAGGAGGTTGTGCGAACGAGCGCTTACTAAGGAAATGTTGGCTCCGGGGGATATCATATTTGAAAAAGGAGAGTTGGCGTTGTCGATGTACTTCGTGGTAAGCGGTAGAGTTAAACTGGTGTATTTGGGGGAAGAGGGCAGAGATGAAACTGTTGACCCCGGGGGGCAT